CTGGAAAGCTTTTAAAATATATCAACGCCTGGGCCCCACTCTGATTTAATTGGTTTGGGGTCAGGATCAGACATCAGCCTTTTTTAAAAAGCCCCCAGTTAATTTCAACATGCAGGAGGCTTGCGAATCACTGTCTAACGCCTGGGGCTCTGCCTTCGACTGGAGTCAGCTTTAATTAATCTCCTCCTTTAATTCTGTGATGTATATGTCATGCTCTGTTATATTTTTGCTTCGGATACATTTCACTGAGTAATAAAAATAAAGGGAGAACAGTTGGTGAAAATTTACTCAAGAAATTAAGTTTGTCATTAATACAAATGATAGGCCATCTGGATAAGCAATCACGTTCTGTTACTAAAGAGTGCTTTCAAGGAGTGCTCAATTTTTATTATTAAACCGTTTAGCCACAGCGCTTAATGTACAAAGCATGTATTTTAATCAGAGAAGGGTGCATGCTAATTAAGCAGTACTTAATAATTGTTCATTATCGTCTATGAATACTCGCCTTTTACCCACATTCAAGTCTCTCCAAGAAATACCTGGAAATTTAATGAAACCCCAGCATGATTCTGATGAGTAGAGTTAAAAAGTAAAAATAGTGATTATTTTGCATTGAAGTTGATGATATTCTCGATTATTGTAGATTTATGCTTCTAGATATATAAACTAATTTGCCGATAAGAATCTTTCACTGTGTCTTTCTCTGATTGTGTTTCACACACACTCACATCTGTACACACAACACAGACAGTTCAGTGAAAATACATCATGAATAAGCATGTTCTTGCCATGATTTTGGCTATTTGGTAGGTGGGACACATTTTTCTGATTTTCATCCTGACATAGGGTGATTGTATTAGTCTCCTTGGCTGCATTTGCTGGCAATTTTGAAGTTCATGCTAGAGCACACTTTTATATTTTAACTTTGGTTAAAGTAGTGAGTGCTTTGAACAATTTAGAATAGGGAAAGGCAAACTGTTTTGGTACAAAAATGTTAACGTACACAATTACTTCAAAATGAGTTAGAAAAACATTCTCCTTCGAACTGCATAAGCTCCCAGTGGTTCCCTTTACCACTCAGCATGGCTCTCCGCTGTTAGAAATACAAATACACATTCCGTTTCAGAAAGCACCACTGTCGTGAAAGCTACGAGTCAAAAATCACTGCACAGGCTACTCAGTGTTACACATCAAGCTGGAATTTTCCCTCTGGGATTTTGATAAATTACTTCTTTTTTTCCTCCAGAATAAAAAGAGTATGATGTACAATACAAGATTCAGATATATTGTAAGGATCACCCCATGTCACAAAGTACCATCCAATCCTGCAGCTTAAACATGTAAAGCTCACTGGAGAAGCTGTATGTTTTACGATCGTTTTGACCAGGAGAGGAACAAATTGAGTTGTTCTGTCAAAAGCACAGGCCAAATCCTTTTTCTGTTAGCTGAAGTTTGGCAGATTGCTTTAGACCTTCCTGGAAAAAAAAAGGAAGAAAAAGAGGACTGATATTCTAACCCCTTCCTACTCTTTCTAATACACTGGTGGCTTTGTCCACATTCGCAGTTGGTATCACCATTTTGACTAAAACAGAGGATCAACTCAGTGAAGCCAATGTTCAGTTCAATAAAATATCAGTAAACAAAAACAATTACAATACCTATTTTCTGTTATAAAAACGCTCGAGTCAGTCAAAACACTGCAGCTGGGTGTATATATATGGAGATGGTCAGCTACACCCCAGTCGAGAGCAGGAGAATCGAGCAAGAGGACTTAGACTGTCATCGGAAGGAATTTTTGTAACTACAGAGCTGCAATCTATTCTGAAAGAAAATGGTAAGAGAATTATATTAGGTAGGTCTGAGACATCCACATCTAAGTATTTTCAATTAGATAATCCTAAAATGAGGGGAAAAATAAGTGTCATTTATGATTAAAATGAGGGTGGCTATAAATGTATTCCTTTCACAGTGGGGATACTACTGTGGACAGATGCTACACCGTTTTATAGAAAATGGTTTGTCTTTCCAGAATTATTCCTGGAGATTTATACACTGAAGAAGAAGACAAACACAGATATTGATCTGCTGGTATCATTTAGTTTTGATGGAAGGATACAAGGAGATGAATGTACTAGACTTCTCAGTTACAAGGAGGAAATATTTTTCACATGATATGTAAATACTGAATTCCATCCTTCCCTTTGCCAACTATAATGTGCAGAACTTATTGGTCTGTATCCACATTCAAATTATTTTTGCCTTAACAAACAAGCATGTAAAGAGATATCCTATATGATATGTTCTCAACTGAAGTGACTATAGTTTTAATATTTTTGTATTTAAAGAATTAATCAACAAAAGTGCAAGTTCAACAAACATTTAGCTTTAAATTTAAAGAACTTCCAGCTTTGTGTATATCTCATGAAATCTAGTTGTTAAGGGGCAGAGAGGAAAAGTTCTAGTTAACTACTGGCCAAATCAGATAGAAGGAAGAAAATTCAAGCAATTCCAGAGATCATGGATGGAGTGGTAGGAAAAAGAAGATGATTCAAAGAGGGATTCCAAGTTTAAACAAATTCTCTCAAATTCTTTAGGTTTTAAAGTGACTTCTAAGATAGCAGCAATATGCCGGGGTTCATATTTTATTTTTAATTTAGATTTTATTTTGTAATAGAATGCAGTAAGGAAGCATATTCAATCTACAGACATTCATTTATCACTGCATTTACAGAAACCGTTTTTTATTATGAAGCAGAGATTCGAGGAAAACTATTAGACCATCATTTTCTGACCTGGATCTAAGAATTATTTTTTTGGCTGTCAATATGTAGTATTTAGATCTTATTTTTAATATAGTTATTATTTAAATATTTTATTTGGTATATCTCTACTATATCGATTATTCTCTGTTATATTAATAATGAAATATTGTTATATGTTCGTCGTTGAAATAACTTGACTAGATTAGGTCCTAAGAGCCTCTACATTTTCAGCTCTCCAACCCCTGCTTCGGTCAAAGTAGCCCGTGCTCGCAGTCCTGTCACTCTCCAGTCACCCCCTTTCTGAAGACGTTTGAGCTGTCTGCACCTACCCACAAAATTCTGGCCCTGTCAAGAAGTGAGAACTGGACTTCACAGCAAGCCAACCTCGTCTCAGGATGAACTCCCTCTGTGTTCTGATCGTTGCCCTGCACTCTGATATGTGTGCTTCTTCCCTGAAAATGTTTCCCTCTGAGAATTCTTCATGTCCCTAGCATCCCATAAACTTCCATCTTCCCAAATAGCTGGATCTGTGAGAAAATGGCTCTTTCCTTCTATGTGCATGTTATTCTTAATTCCTTAATAGCGACACCGTTATGGGCAAGCACAGACACCTGGATAGAGGATTAAAGCATTTCTGGTCTTGGTCGTTTGAGAAGGTTACTTGTCTCTCTGATTGGAAGCTGGAGCATAAAGGATGCTCTTACATGAGCTAGAGAGAAGTCATGAGCTCCTATTAGAGGAACAAGAATGTCTGGGAGGAGCTCTTAGTTAGCAGGTATTATGATGACACGGGGCTTGGAGAAGAATGTGGGTACCTGGAAAAGAGGAACCTAGGGTGGTCTTTCTCTTCTCTTGTGACTTTTTCAGTCTTGCATGATTTACAAAAGCTTTGGCATTTTCTTTATATAAATACAGCACATTTTACATTAAATATAATCCTAGATATTGTTCCCTTTGCAAATGAGATCTGATTTTCTTTTAAAAACTGTTGTTGGTTATTTTGATTTATATAAATTATTCATCTTTAATTATTTTCAGTGAGTTACTGAATTCTAAATATTTCAAAATGCTTTTTGGATTTTACCTAGAATAACATAGTGGTTAGGTGCAGCTGGGAGAACATGATGGTCTGTGAGACTGAAGGAGCTCATGAAGAAAGGGAGCAGATAGAGAAGATGTGAGGACCAAGGACTGAGCCTTGGACCGCTCAGCATGGAGTCAGAGAAGGAGATAGAAGAGTGGCCAGGGAGGTAGGAGGCCAAGAGGGTGTGATGTCTTGGAAGACGGTAGAGGCAGTGCCCCAGGGAAGCAGAGGGATCGGCTGTCAGATATCACTGGGAGGTCAAGGAAAATGAACCCTGAGAACTGAACACTGGATTTAGAAATGCACACATCACGTCGCAGTGACTTCCACAAGAGCAATTTTAGTGGAGCAGAGGGGGCAAAATTTTACTGGAGTGGTTTCAATAGTGAGGAGGAGAGGAATTTGAGATAATAAGACATCTCTCTGAGTTTTTTTGTTAGAAAAGAAAGCCGAAAAGTAGGAGAGTAGCATAGAGTGGAAGTAAGACTTCATTTTCGTTAGATTAGGGTTATTTCCTTTTTTAATATTTTAAGATAATTTTTAAGATTAAGAAATTAAAACTTTGAGATTAAGAAATCAGTATATTTGTTTCCTGATGGGAATGTCTTGTGAAAAGAGAAAAGTTGACAGTTGGAAGAATGTAAAAAATTTTCTGATAAAGAAAATATTTTCTGCAATGTGATGCTTAGACCAGTTATTTTTCTAAAAGAAGCCCCGTGTTCCCTTGCCCATCATGGGTGTGCAACAGAAATGAGGTGGCAAGAAGTGCTTGTCCTTTCTCTGGGATCTCATGGTAAACCCAGCTTTTACCTTTGCTTGTTGACTAGAGCCCAACTCTAAATTCCTTTTGGAAATATTATTTAAATACTCAAATATATTTTAGACTCCAAATTTGTAAGTCAATGTTGTAATTATGCTTCTTGTTGTTTTTAACATACTCATTTTAAATTGAATAATCAGACCATATGAAGTCAACAATATCAAGTGAAACTTTACTTTGACTTCTCAGGCAATACTGTCATGCTTTATCTCAGCAGACTAATTGGTGTCGAATGTTCTTGAGTCAGTATTTCACCAATCTGAATCTGTGTCATATGAATGGATCTGCACGGCCAAGTTATCTTGTGAATTGTTTTCTTTTTTCCTCACAACAGCTTTGTGTCAACATGACCAATGAGAAGATGCACCACTATATCAATGAAGTGCTTTTTCTACAGGAGCAAACAGAATGTGTACAAGAGGGAGTTACCATGGAAACAGCTTATTCTCCTGGTAACCAGACTGGAGTTTTGGATTTTTTTTTCCAGGTATTCATATACCATAATTAGATACTTTGCAGGATGCATGCGTTTAAATATACAGAAGACAAAGAATTCCTTTCAAGGGCCTTGTTTTTGAGATATCTTTATATATGAGACTCTGCAATGTATTTATAATCTTTCAAAGTTGGTTGAGGAGCACAAGTTACCTTTTTCTGAAGGGGCATCTGAAGGATTACCAATTCACTGAAAGGACAAGAAATATCAGATCATTTTGTTGTAAAAAAAAATTCAGCATTTATTATTTGCTAAAACTCTCCTTTTGGCATGGTTACAAATGCCCAATGTACAAAATTAGTATTTTATAAAATAATATCTAAGGCTAAAAATGTCATAAAACAAATTCAACAGAATATTTTTTACTTATCTTCAAAGTTTCTAAATTTAAGTATGGAAAAATTGGCAGAAAAATATATATACATACATATAATTTTAGGGATCTGCAGGTCTTCATACTTGTCTTTGCCTCTACTTCACAATGCAAGAATCTTTGCCTCAATACCTCTATCGTATAAGCAAAAATCTCTCAAGTAAACAGCAATCTCAACCTACTGATATACATGAAGACATTGCAGGCGTGTGCCACATAATGTTTTGATCAACGACAGACTGAATATACAATGGTGGTCCCACAAGATTGTACCATATAGCCTAGGTGTGCAGGAGGCTACACCATCTAGGTTTGTGTAAGTTCACCCTATGGTGTCAGCGCAGCAACAAAGTCCCCTAACAATGCATTCCTCAGAATGTATCCCCGCTGTTAAGCAACGCATGACTGTGTATAGATTTACCCATGATGTCTCAAACACTTGAACATGATTTAAAACTGATACCATTCAGCTATTGAGAGCATAGTACTTAATTTTATACCCTTTATTTCTATAAATATAGACTTACAAATTACTTTATTTCATGCATTTTCCTAATATTGTAAAATACTCTTCTTCTTGCTACCAAGTGTTCAACGTTCCTTTTTTCATTTACAAAGTAAGCCCTCTTCCTCCAGAAAGCCCTCGCTCATCATACACATATAGTATATAATTTATCTATTTAGAGTTTAAAAATGCCTTTAAACTGACGCTAATATATACTTAACTGTATACAGGGAGCTTCAGCCGCCTCCGCCCTGGTTCTGGCTGTGATGTCTTGACTGCTACACAGGGGTCAGCAGGATGAAGTTACGTCTGTCTCTGTGGCTGTCATCCTTGAAGGTTCCTCTTAGGAATCGTCATTTCAGTAGTAGGACCCTTATCAGTATGAGCTGGAACTGAGAGTGGACGTTTTTGGCTGCTACTTCTCTTTGATATCCATAAAAATGGAATGAAAAGACATATCAAGTATAGGGTGAAAGATGTAGGTCTGTATACCAGGCAAGCGTGTACCCTACAAAACAAAACAAGTTGATTGTTTCCTGTCCGGCACCCATAACCCTCTACTACACACAAACGTTTGTCATTTTTGCATAGGCCGTATTTATGTTTCAGTGAACATATAATTGCCTTAGCTCCCTGAAGGGGCGTCAATCCAGATCCTTACCAGATTCTCCAGGCGTCTAGTACGTTGTGTTGCGCTCTCAACATTGCTACGTTTTGTTGTTAAGGTAAAACTGCACGTGATAACCTTTCACATACAGGAGAACAACTCAGTCTCTTCAAAGCCCTCACTTCCGAAGGAATTGAAGGCCAATAATCCTTTTTTATGTCTTATTTCTCCAAGTCTACTTCCTCCTTCAGACACTCAGTAAGTTTTCCAAGTCTACCACCATTCCTTCCTGGCTTTATATCAAACATCCAGAAAGCATTACACACATGAATTTTAAAAATTTTGGAGACAATACAAATTATAATGCTTTAAAAAATATCTTGTTGGTAACCAACCACCCCATCCTTGGAAAATGTCATCTTGCTTTTGGAGCAGGGTGGTTTAGCTCTTTTTGGAATAGATCCCTTCTCTTATACTAATTGGGGCCTTGTCTTTGAATTATTGAAACATCCATTAAAGGCCTCATCAAAAATGCTCATCTCCAAAGAGGGGGTCTGTCACTGCCCCTGAAATACGGACACGCTTGCATACAGCCTTTAAATACCCCATTTATCTCTACCACGTGTCTGTATATTTGCATATGGATGTGTGTAAGGGTAACAGCATCTAGAGAAGTGTCATGACATCATGATCAAATTGACAGATGAAGGAACAACTTCTGGTCTTATAATATCAATGTTTTACTTACTCTTCAACAAATAGGTTGCTATAAATTGAAATAAAGAATTTCTGATTTTTAAAGCATCCCAGACTGGACCAGTCCTCAGCAAACTTCTTACATTGACTGTTTTCTTGTAGGGCCTCTCCCATCCATTTAGCATACCTATATATTTTTTTACTTTCTCACCTCTGGGCTCTTCATGGGGCCTCATTGTGGGGTTCCTGGCCACACTGAGAGTCTTGTGATGTACCAAGAAGAACTGCTTGCTGGGCTAACATTCCCCGGATTGGACTTTGTTCTCCAGATTTCCTTATCGAAAAACATTTTTGTGTTGGTAAGACAAAGTATCTCCAGGTATTACTGATCTCAGTAATTTGCTGAGATGGATGAACTCACTTTTTGCAGGCGTTCCCAATTCCTTCCTAGTGCCATTCTCCACCTCATTAGTTCTTCTTCCTTTTCCTCGCAAAGGAGGCTATCAGGTTGCTCATTCTGGAGATGGCCACCATAGTTGCCAAGTGTTTCCAGTAGGGCACCCTCTGGTGCGTGAGCCCCCACCAGGTGGAGGTCCTCCCCGTGGCTGGCTCTTTCAACCTTTGTTCTCTGGGCTGACACCAGAATGATTAAACTTTTGCAGCCCTCAGACAAGTGTATATAGTCTTTGAGTTTTCTTTAATAGGAGCAGGAGTCTCCAAAAGGCTTAAAACAACTAGCACGAAGCAATGACTTTCGATTGGCCAAATAAATGACATCGTGAAAGGCCTCTGGTGGTCAGGTTTGGTGACCTCAGGTCAAAATACAAAGTGACATCACTATAGGGGCCAGTATACAGCTCTTCACTTCCTGAGAAGAATTATTCTTATGGTATTCACACTTTTGAAAGTATAGAGTCTATGTGAAGAATTAAGATATATGACAGAATAATGTAAACAAATAATATGTTGCCTTAGTTTACAAGGTAGATTTGATGTGTCAACAGAAAAGCATTCCTAGGAAAGAGAAGATAAACCACACAACACTGGGTAAAAAGTTATTCACCTGATGTGTAAATGCTGTGGGCAGAATGATGTTCCATGTCAGGGGATGCAGTGTCAGAGGGTGGGAAGTTCTTCACATGAGATTAATTTTACATTGTTGCTTCCTATATAAGTTTACTTTCCCTGTTTGGCAGCTATAAACTATCAGACTTCTAATTTGAATTTTACAAGTTATAGCTTCAAACTTTCTTTTTCCTCAGTCTCAATATTGGAATATCATAGAGTCATTTCTACCTCTTGCCGAGTGGGATTTTGCCGCAATTTTTATGACACAGCATCATTTGTTTCTTGATAAGTTACTTATCCCACCATAAGTATAAAGTGTTCAATATGAGTTTTAGGTCAAGAAAAATTACAACTTTTCTGTAGTCAGAAATTTTATTTTTCTTGTTAAGATGACCATATACTTCTTAATAACTCCAGTGTTTTAATGACATTCAAGTAGACTCTTTCATTTATTTATTCAGTCCTCTAATCAATAAACACTGTTGAGGGCCTACTTTACATCGGGGTTTTGCTAGGTGGTGGGCACACAACAGTGAGCAAAAATAGGTGTGTAGTAAAAGTAAAGACATTCATTTTCCGAATGCTTGTATGAACATAATGAAAAAATAAATGCATGAACAATAACAAAAATACTAAATTGAGTAATAGAAGAAAAAAACTCTCTCTTCTTAACTTTCAGAAGCCATCTGGATTTCTCTCTTTATTGGATGAAGAAACTCAAATGATTTGGTCAGTGGAACCAAATCTTCCTAAAAAGCTACAAAGTCTCCTAGAATCCTCCAACACAAATGCAGTGTATTCCCCCATGAAGGATGGGAATGGGAACGTCACCCTCAAAGATCAAGGCACAGCATTCACTGTTATGCACTACGCAGGAAGGGTGAGTTAAAGGAACTACATAATTTATGATATGCACTAATGGACCGAAGGTCTTAGGGACAAGCTTTAAAGTTTCAGTATTTTAGAGTTTATTATTTTAATAAATGAAAGCTGGGTGAACAGCCCACAAAGTTTACTTTTCTAAGCTATCTTCTTTTAGCCTGGTAAGGGCTTCACATCTTCAGAATGTGGGTGGTGAAGCATGCAGTATGATCCTTCTCATAATATTCTGAGAATTTTAACTTCATATGAGGAAAAGAGATCCGGATTTAATACAAAGAGCTCTGCTATGAACTTTGAGACATTTTCATCACCTAAAGAAACATTGGACACCTGAGTTTGCTTACCCTCAATATAGTTTTTAGTATTAAATTATTTTTCTTAAAGGATATCAACCCAAGAAAAGAAAGCTACTGTCAGATCTCTGTCGATTCCCTAACCAGCTTTGTCAAAGGTGCTTCTTTCTCAAAACCTTCAAGGACCAACTCTTACCTGTTAATGTTTCCGCACTCCTCAGGCTAGGCTCAGATTGGGCTTCTCCAAGCTGATCTCAATCATTTTTTCCATGACTTATCTGCACAATCCCCCCTATACAAAACCTCCGTTCAAGTCGTTTTTTCTAATCCACTCACTGTTTTCCTGCATCTCCTCCCACCCCACGTAAAGCCCCTCACACTCAAGCTTGAAATATCCTCCTTGTCTTCTTCACAAAGTGAATGTTGATCCATCTTTTAATGCTTAAATCCACATCCCACTTGTCCTCAATCCTTCTCCCATCTACAGTTAATATCTTCCACCTTTGAATTTTTAGCCCTTGGATTTTTCCCCCATTTGGCATTTAGTACAAATTACATATTCAAGGGTGAAATCTCTAGTCACTCTCTCACGCTTGGTGTATTTCAGTTCATTTCAACCCATGTTTACTGAGTCTCTGCTATATGCCAAAGCCAGAGCTCTAGCGAATCAAAGGTGAGCAAAACATATTCCTTACCCTCAAATATCTCAGTTTCAAATAAGGAAAAGGTGAATTGACAAATAGTTATTATATAATTTTCTTATAAAAACATTAGTAATATTAATAAACTTCTATGTTACCACAGAGAAGGAAGCAATTATTTGGCTCCAAAAAAAGTGTAGAAATGTTTTATAGAGGAGGTAAAATGTGACCTAGGCCTTCAAAGATGAGTCAGAACTCAGTAAGGATGAAAGGAACAGGCCTCCAGTAAAGACATGGACTTCAGGAAGTGATTGGTGTGTGTGTCCCTCAGGATTCAGTTGCATAAGCCAGAATCCACCAAAGCTGTTTGAGCAGAAAATATCTTTAGTGCAGGAAAGTAACTGTTGAGAACCTCTATGTTGAACCTTCCAAAGTGACCTTAAAATCACACCAAAGGACAGGGCTGCCAACATAGTTAGGGCCTCGTCTTTGATCAAGAAGCCTCCAACCATCAGGGACCAGCCCCGTGGCAAAGTGGTTAAGTTTGCGTGCTCTGCTTCGGTGGCCCAGATTTTGCAGGTTCGGATCCCGAGTGCAGACCTACATGCTGCTCATCAGGCCATGCGGTAGTGGCATCCCACATACAAAAAATAGAGGGAGACTGGCACAGATGTTAGCTCAGCAACAATCTTCCTCAAGCAAAAGAGAGGAAGATTGGCAACAGATGTTAGCTCAGGGCCAATCTTCCTCAACAAAAAAGAAAGAAAGAAACCTACAGCCAAATTGACAAGCTGCTGCCGTAGGTACTGACTGTCAGTTACTGCTACCACCTCTAGCAGTAAAATGCCAGTGCGCTGGCACTCAACATGGAAGAAGTCGGTGCTTGGGCCTGGAGATCTCCACTGCCGGAGAAAAACAAACACCTTCATGACATGCTCAAGAGGGAAAACACAGAAACAGCAGAGTGGGGCCCCCACCACTTCCACCCGCTACATTTTGTGCAATAGTGCCAGACAGATGGGAGCTACGGAGCAATCAGACCCTAGCTGCAGAGGAGCCTGGGAAAGATAACTTTCCCACTTCCCAACAGCTAAGTACCGGAAGGTAACTAAGGTGAACGCTCCATACCATTCCGCCCTATCCACCCACATTGTACTGGGGAAATCGGACAAGAAGTTCAGTTAAAACTATAGAGAATGGTGGGCAAAAAGTCTAAAAAGGTTGTTTTTGGCCAAAACATGAATAAATACACAGATGCTTCTCAAGACTTCGTCCTCTCGACAGTTTAACTTATCAGATGTTTTTAGACAGGGTGGGGGGGTGAAGTAAGAAACAAGATGACATGACATAGGATGCATTGGGAAAGAAGTAAGAGGGCTGTGCAAACCCTCAGGCCAGGACTGCATCTGAGCGGTAGCCGTGGAGTGCAGAGGAGGCGTCATAAGGCAGAGGACTGGGGACCGTGACTGACCAGGCGTGCAGAGCCAGGGAGGAGGCAGAGCTTGAGATGACACTAAGGTTTCTCACCACACTGAGCAATGGATGGTTTTTTTGCCAACCAAGAGAGGAAATCCTGCAGAATGGGGCAGTTTGGAAGGAAAGGTATTCAGTTTTAGGTGTTTTGGATTTGAAGTTTTTAATGGAAATCCCAAGAGGATGCTAAAATGCTTGATGCTGGGCTAGAAGAGGTTGGTTGCTTTTAGATACATAGTCATATTTTTGGAAATGTGTATCTTGATAATTTCACCCAGAAAGAGCATGGAGAAGAGGGAGAAAAGAAGTTAGTAAGAAAGACAAGAATCATGGAAACCAATAGAAAAGGAGGAAGAGGCAGGGTCAACAGGACGTGCACCTGCATGGGACGGTTAGGCCAGAGGGCACCTTGTGAGAAGTGACAGTAGGTGGTGCCATGTCATGGGTTGAGTGGCTAATGGATGTGGAGACGAAGTCGTGGAAGATTTTTTACACATATAGATATATAAATCTAAAAATACATGTATTTTCCCAAAGCATTACTATCGTTTATATTTGAGAGATTTAGCCTTTACAAATCCTTTATAAGAGTAGCAATCTTTTAGTCCTGTATTCAGATTTTTAAATTTATATTTTCTTCACATTAAGCATTTATTGTATTCATAGAATTTAGTTGAAAATTATAATAAGGTATAAGTTTCATGGAAGCTCTCTTAAGTCAGTATAAACCTGACTTACCTTATAAGTCTGTTTGTGTTATATCTTGGAGATGCATTAGATGTTCAATAAATGCTAATTGTGTTAAACTGAAAGAGGCTGAGCTTTGGAATAATATTTTGGTTGTTAATTACTTATGATTACTTTAAAAAATTGTGCTACAGGCACTTAATAAAATGTCAATTTCAATTGTTTTAAGAAATTTGGGGAAAAAAACCACTAATAGTTTGGATGAATATAATTATTTCAATGAGTTCTGACAGCAATAAAGCAAAGCAGAGAAAGCCACTTGACTAGTTGCCACTGCACCAAAACCCTGTGGAATCATGAATTTTCCTATAAAAGCATCTTTATATTTTAAGCAGGATTTTCCATAACTGGAGTCAATTTTGTGGTTTTATAAAAATCTTTCATTTCACTGAGATATACTAATGAGTCTTAGCCCAAGGACTCCCTAAGGACTCATTCACATGTTACAGTATAGATTATCTGTAATTTGTGGCAATATGTCAAGCCATATGCCATTCTAATCATCACTTGTAGCTACATATACTTAAATTTTGAACTATTGTATTTTCAAGAAAAGCAGCACATTCTGCATTTTATAAATCAAGAGATGTAGCAAAGAGTTAATTGGTTTAAAATCAGCATACAGGGTCTATTTTGGACAGTAGGATGAGCATTCTTGAATAGCTCTTTGATGATAAAGTTGAACCCAAAGGAGAGCTCAATGGCTCTGGGGTTCTTGGGTTGATTTGTAGCCTCTTCTTTGGCCAGATGGGTGGGCTGGAGAGTCTCTCTCACGACCACTTGCTCCTCTGTGACTGGTTTACCTGGTTTTGTTAGTGAAAACTTACTACATCTCATAGGAAGGATGCTCATTACTGCTGGTGATACTGACATCCAGCCCTACCAGGATGGACTCTCCCATCGGACTCTTCTACTCTGACTGTAAGACCCTGCCATGCTTCTGAATCTGCTTTGGAGCAGAGGCTCAGAGGTCCTTTTAGAAATGTTTAAGCAACGTTATTTGAATTATAGCTGAAGATCTTTCCTAAACACATTTGAATTTTTCATTACTCATAGGAGCCTGGTATATTTTTCAATCTCCATTACAGAAATATTTTAAAGCAAATGGGAAGAGGCTGTGCATGAAATATTAACAGAGTCTCATTAATGAGCATGAAACTGAATTAAAGAAGGCTGTGAGTTGTGTTTTGTTGTTGTTATTATTTGTTTTAAATCATATATGGGATTACCTGTTTTAGGAATTGCTTTTAACTTCTACTGATGATTTAAATGACGGATAAGCGTTAAATTCAGAAGTTTATCTGATTTTATTGGCTTTTAAAATTAAGAATCTCAAAGGAAAGAAGAATTATGATTTGGAAAAAGACCTTAGTGGCTCTTAGGAAAGTTGAATTTTCATTAAGGTGATTCTGAATTAACTCTAATGGGAAATAGTATTTTGAAGTTCTTAAATTTTAATGTGAGAAAAGGGAATAGATTAGGAGATAGTAAAGCAATCTGAAGTAATACAAATTAAATTAATGAAAATATAGGTCAAAATTAATAGTTATAAAATATATGACATACATATCTGACCTTTGTTGTCTACTCGTATCTTTGTCAAAAAGCTGTTTGATTATTTTATCATGAAGTGATTCTTTTTGGATCTCAGATAAGTGTCCCATTGTATGACCGGCTTTGATGGTTTACACATATCAGTTGACAATATTGTTCTTACCTAAGATGATGTGTCTATATTTTAGCCTCCTTCTCATCTCAAACACTTAAGTATTGTGGTGGGTCCAAAAAGATACGGCCACATGCTTATCCCCAGAACCTTTGAATTGGGTCTTATTTGGAAAAAG